ACGAACTACCCGGGCTACCCCCACACAAGGAGATTGAGTTCAAGATTGATCTCTACCCAAGAATCGAACCCATATCCATCACTCCCTATCGGATAGCACCTTTGGAGTTAAAGGAGCTAAGGAAGCAGCTGGATCATCTGTTGACCATTGGGTTTATCTGTTTGAGCACTTCACCTTGGGGAGCTCCGGTATTCTTCGTGAAGAAGCATGATGAGACACTTCGGTTGTGCACGGATTACTGAAGATTGAATCGAGTAACAGTGAAGAACAAATACCCTTTACCACGAATCGACGACCTATTTGATCAGTTGAGGGGTTCTAAGTATTACTCTAAGATTGATCTTCGCACAGGATATCACCAATTGTGGATCAAGGAGGAAGATATTCTTAAGACTGCTTTCCGTACTCGGTATGGTCATTTTGAGTATACGATGATGCCGTTCGGATTGACTAATGCTCCAGCAGCTTTCATGGATTTAATGCACAGGATATTTCAGTCATATCTAGATCAGATTGTCATCGTGTTTATTGATGACATACTAATCTATTCTCGGACTTGCAAGGAACATGGACGCCATCTTTCTATTGTACTACAGACATTGAGAGAACATAAGTTATATGCGAAGATGAGTAAGTGTGAGTTTTGGATGAAGGAAGTAAAATTCCTTGGCCATGTTGTGTCGGACCAAGGGGTAGCTGTTGACCCCGCAAAAATTGAGGCAGTGACAAAGTGGGAACCACCAAAGAATGTGACCGAAGTACGTAATTTTCTGGGCTTAACAGGCTACTACCAGAGGTTTGTGAAAGGGTTCTCAAAGCTAGCAATGCCGATGACACGTCTCACAAAGAAGGGAGAAAAATTCTTGTGGACTCAAGAGTGTGAACTAGTTTTTCGTACCTTGAAGGAGAAGTTGACAACCGCTCCTGTCCTCATTATTTGAGTAGTGGGGAAGGATACGATGTGTACACCGATGCTTCGCTACGAGGCTTGGGGTGTGTGTTAATGCAAGGAGGGAAAGTGGTTATCTATGGCTCGAGGCAACTCAAGGTTCATGAACAAAATTATCCCACCCATGATTTAGAGCTTGCCGCTGTGATTTTTGCTCTTAAGTTATGGAGGTGTTACTTGTACGGAGAGAAATTTCAAGTGTTTTCTGATCATAAGAGCCTCAAGTACATATTCACCCAGAAGGACTTGAATCTTCGGCAAATAAGGTGGATTGAGTATTTAGAAGACTATGATTTCACACTCAATTACCATCTAGGGAAGGCGAATGTAGTAGTAGATGCACTGAGTAGAAAATCTCGAGGTGAAATCAATTCCCTTGTGGTGAATAGGTGGAAGATGATGGATGCTTTGGAGGAATTTAATCTATGGGTGGATAGACAGGAGGATCGACCATGCCTATTCAATCTTGTAGCTCAACCGATGCTTCAACAAAGGATTGTGGCGTTGCAACGATTAGACAACGAGTTGGAGGCTATCCGGAGTAAGTTGGAGAGGAGTGAGATTATTGAGGATTGGGCGTTAAGTGATGATGAGTTATGGTTTCGAGGAAGGCTATGTGTACCTGATCATGACCAAGTACGGGAAGAAGTGTTGGGCAAGTGTCATCGTTCCAAGTTCTCCATACATCCAGGTAGTACCAAAATGTATAGAGACATGAAACGACAGTATTGGTGGAAGGGAATGAAGAAGGATGTGGCTAGATACGTTTCAAAATGTGTGGTGTGCCAGCAAGTGAAGATTGAGCATCAAAAACCCAGAGGATTATTACAGTCCTTGCCTATTCCCGAGTGGAAGTGGGATCACATCACCATGGACTTCATATCTAACTTTCCACGGACTTCACGAGGGCATAATGTTGTATGGGTCATTGTTGATAGACTCACCAAGTTCACTCACTTCTTGAGTATGAAGATCACCGACACGTTAGAGACCTTAAGGAAGCTCTATATTTGTGAGATAATGAGATTGCATGGAGTTCCGCTATCCATTGTGTCGGATCATGTTTCTCATTTTGTAGCACAATTTTGGCGAAGTCTTCAAAGAGCTATGGGGACAGAGTTGCATTTCAGCACAGCCTTTCATCCCCAAATGGATGGTCAATCCGAGAGGGTGATCCAAATTCTAGAAGACATGTTACGTGCTTGTGTGTTGGACTTCAAGGGAGGTTGGAGTGATCATTTGCCGTTGGTGAAATTTGCATACAACAACAGCTATCAGACAAATATTGGGATGACACCGTATGAGGCGTTATGTGGAAGACCCTATAGGTCCCCAACTTGTTAGTTGGAAGCTGACAAGAGTAGCTTGTTTAGGCCGGAAATTGTTCGAGAAACTACAAAGAAAATTCAATTCATCCGGGAGAGATTACGCACGACACAAAGTCGACAGAAAAGCTATGCGGATCAAAGACGAAGACCCTTGGAATTCAAAGTGGGAGACTATGTGTTCCTCAAAGTGTCGCCCAAGAAAGGAGTATTTAGATTCGGCAAGAAGGAAAAGTTAGCGCCAAGATATACTGGGCCATTTGAAGTGATCAAAGTGGTGGGCAAAGTGGCGTATCAGTTGTGGTTACCAGCTCAGTTGTCTAGGATACATGACGTGTTCCATGTGTCGATGTTGAGAAAGTGTCAATCGGATGCAACGCCGGTCGTAGACTTGAAAGATATTGAAATTCAAGACGGAGCAACCTATGAAGAACAACCCTTGAAGATTCTCGACGCCAAAGAGAAGGTGCTCCGCAACAAAGTCATCCGACTAGAGAAGGTTTTGTGGCAACACCATGGAGTGGAAGAAGCTACTTGGGAACTGGAGTTAGAAATGCGAAAGAAGTACCCGCATTTATTCGCTACTTGAGGTAAGTTTCGAGGACAAAACTTTCTTTAAAGGGGGTGGATTGTAAACCCACACTTGTCTAAACTATCAACAATCGTCCAATTAGCTTCGTTTTGCATTTAACGTCTCAATTTACATGCTAAATCAAAATATAAGAATAATAAGTACATTTAGACTCCAAATAAGTATAAAAGGCTAAATATTAAAAGAGAAAAAAAATATAAAATTTTGCATTCTCATCAATTAGCTAACTTAGAGGAATTGAAGAAAAATGTTGATGGATATACTAGTTCTACATCATGTTGTTATAAATAATTTTAGGAGACGAATGATAATTTAGTTTTGGTTAATGAATGATGCTAGACATGGATCTTTATGCAAGCCATACTATCTATATTGGAGATGAGTATGAGATAAAATTTGTGACAAAAGACACTCAAACTCGAGTTAGACAAGTATAGAAGAACCAAACAGTCCAGCAGACTATCTTTCACCAATTTGATCATAACTCTTTGTTTGAAAGTCCAAATTGGGCACCGTTATTTTTGTTAGAACCCTAACTCGTATATCTTTCCAACCATATAGGTCACACATACTAGAAATACCTGAGTCAAATCAGTTTATTCTTCGAAATTAATTGAAAATCTACACAGTGGTATTCCTTGAATGTTAAAGTGTTGTGCTTTCTTCTTAGACTTAGAAGGTGTAAACCCTCACATGTTTATATTAATATAGTAATGTACTTGTTTAGTGATTCTTATATATGTAATGACGTAAGAATAAACCATATATATTGAAATCGTAAGAATAAATACTAGGGAGGAATAAAATAGTAATTTTAATGTTTTGAGTGTAAATTTATTTTAATTTTGAAATAAATCATAAAAATAAATATTTTTAGGTTAAAATAACATTAAAAATGAATCCGGAACGTCAAAAAACCTTAGGGTAGTCATATGGATCATATTGAAGATTTTTAGTGACAAAATTGTAATTTTAGAGAAACCAAAAATAGCCTGTGAACAGTAAAAATCGGGACTGCTGTGTTTAAAAATCCATTTTCATCTCATTTACTCCCATTCTCTTCACTCCACTCTCACCCCACACTTCTTGGAACCTTAGAGGAAGATTAAGGAATGAAGAAAAGGGAAGAAGGAGGTCACTAGAGACCGACCATCTTCTTTAACCTTAGAGGAAGATTAAAGAGGAGGAAGATTTACGTATGCTATTTGTGAAATAAGACCGATCATTTTTTACGTTTTTCAAACCTTATTAGAGTTTGAAAGGATTTTCCTACAGTGCGTACTGCTCACCCCCTACCAATAATATTTTTTTTTTAAATTTCGTGCTAGAGGAAGATCTCGGCGTTGATGAGTCGGGAAATTGGGAGGTTCCATCAGAGGGAACCTAGATCCCAAGGTGGACATCTAGAGCTATAGTGTATTTTTGTGCTAGACTAAGGAATTTATTTATAATCATGTATAGTCTAATATTTTGTTTATTCCGCTGCTAAGTTTGAGTGTAATTCTTTTGGAATGTAAGTGCCATAGCTTGACCTATTTTTTTGGGATGATATGGTGGATATTACATGTGGTGACTGAAATTTTATTATTTGATGGGTAAATGGATCTAGTGTGGTCAATATTTATTTATATATGGACCTGGTGTGGTTAATGTAATATAATTGCACAGGTTGTGTTTTGGGTAGAGTTCCCCGTATAAAGGAGACTCTGTCCAAATTTTGTTAAATTAAGGACCCCCGATTTTTGGGGTGTTACAATATGTCTCAAATGTATTTAGATTTAACTGCTACTGCTACTTTAAATGATACAATACAACCTAGTTTCTTTTAGAAGGGTTTGCATTGCTACACCATTCTTATACCCAACTACCCTGTACAATACCAGCTAAGTAATTTGACTATTCTGAGGATCACTAAAAACAACCACCTTTTCAAATCACTCTACAAACTATTAAAGAATAACAGTAAATGAATATAATATCATGACTATCTTTTCAAATCACTCTACAAACTACTAAGGAATAGCAGTAAATGAATACAATATCATGACTATCACACCATATAACAAGTTGAACCCATGATTGTGGTTGATTTTTGGATATATTTGCTACAACAGATCGTTTAATCTTGTCAAAATTATGAACGCGTTGACATGAAAGCTCCATGAAAACCATATGGAACTCTACTTGGTAGAGTAATTTTTGCAACTGGCTCACTCGAAAAATTTTTGGTGTCGACTACGTAAACCTGCAAGTAATGAGTAAACAGATCTGTAAAACCTACAATAACACAATAACATACGATTAGATTTAAAAATGCTAGTTCCTCATCATGAAATAACTTGCCTGCGATATGTTAAGATTTTCGTCATGTACAAATGTGATGATCCAACCATCATCTTCTTCAAGACCTCCAACTTTAGGGACAAAAGTGGCTCCTAAGCAAAATGTGTTCTCTGGAGAGCTATGGTACTCGGTCTTTATCGTCTTCCTTCAAAAAAAAAAATTCAGCTCTTCACATTGTTTCTCTCACTATTTCCTAAAATAAAAATTAAGTACAGAGATGTATCTATATGAGTGACATGAGGGACACAAAAAAGGTGCAAAAACATACTAGTTCCAAATAAACCCCATGCTCTGGTTCTTCAAAGTATAGCTTGGCTAGACCTCCATATTTGCCCCTGCCTACAATTGTGACAGGTTTGATGAAACATTGTCTCAAATATTGATCTATGACAAACATAATGATATTTTTTTCTCTTTTCAGAAGATGATTGATCAGTTGTTACCTACAATAGAGCTTGCAATTGAATCAACAACTTGGGTGTACCCAAATCTGTTTTTACAACCCATAAAGTTTTCATTAATCACAGGAAAATCCATAGAAAATTATGTTCCTGTGAGATTCCTTTCCTTCACCTTTCTAGTTTGCATGTTTAATCTCCACTCGTGAGCACGAGAAAAAAATATTCCATCTTGAGTCATACCATCACTAGTATCTTCAACTAAATTTACATGCTTAAAACCTCTAGAGAACCACTCATATTTGTTCAAGCCTAGATTAGGTCCTGGTATACTGATCCTTGAGCTCTACACGCCCAGACTATAACCTATTCATCATCACAAAAGATAGACTTAGTGAAAGGAATGCAACATTTACTCTGAATTTATATATAAATTACGATCATTGTTCATTACCTTATCACCGTTCTCAAAACAATTGACAATGTGAAACACACTACTTGGGTCCACTTCAAACCACTGGATGGAATCTGCATCACCATAGCGAGGCATCACTCCAATCTTGACATATCCTTTCTTGTCATACCTAATCAACCTACATACAAGTGAAGTTTTTGTAAGAAATCAAAAAATATTCCTGTTTCTTATTAAGGCATTTTGCAAAAGAACTTGTTACACTGTTGATGCCATCAATAAGGGAATGTCAAGAACATATGTACTCAAGGTCCTCCACCAATGAGTCGATTGATGTGTATAGTTAGAGGAGAATCAATGATCACATTGTACCTGCAGACCAAAGCTGCATTAACTCCAAATTGATGTTATAGTCAACTTTAATATCCAGTTTTGCAATGGAAGCCTTCAAAGTGGAACAAAAATCATAGTTTGGTAGTTTGGTACCTCTGTGTAACCCCCATGTCAAGGCACAGGCTACACTGATTGGGTTTGAGATCTACTCTATGAATTAATTTCATTCCATCAGCTGAAAAGGGGGAACAAATTTTACAATAATAACATATTAATTAACAACATATTAAAAAGTGGCCTACATGCTAATCTTGAACTAAACTACTGAGGAATATACTTGAGATCACTCCCAGTTCAATGTAAGGTTTTTGTGCATCAACCCCCATCATAATCAGCTCTCTTGTACCAGGAGCTTTCTGTGATAGAAAATGTTACTGAAGCATCAAATAAGCTATTTGATATTAAAACAGACATATCGTCGTCTGGTTTTATGTACCTTTGGGTGACTAGTGAATGGTCAGTTCCAAGATCCATCAACATCCTAGTTACCTAAAGTTTCTAGTGTGAAAATGTTGATCTCTTGTGGGATATGATTCTTAGAAATTGAGTAAAATTTTCCTGAATGCTCGAAAACATTGGTATTGCTGAGATATTTGTTTACTTTGCCAAGTCTCAACTGCAAACTCCAAAATTCAAATAGTAAGTTATGTCAAGCTTGGAAATCACTTTGTTATGATCTCATTAACACAACAGAAGCTTTTAGACTATAGATTTTTGATCAAATAGTACCTTTCAAAATTTTTTGTTTCTAGCATTTCAAATTGTCTTAATCTGGGTTTCGGTAAGTCATATAAGTCATAGTTGAATCAGACAGTCGATATAATTCCTTAGTTAATAAGGATGATTTCATCATGTTTTGGTACTGATGTACCAATTTGAACAGTTTGTTCAAATAAAAAAAGATACAAAATGGGCATAGCCTCTTCAGCAAATGAGATAGTCCAAGTTTTAATGGGTGGTGTTCTTACCAAATTTAGCGGATAAGCTGACAAAATGGCCGAGTCTCGTTCAATTGCAGGAAGAAAAGTTGGTTTGTTTCTTTCTTGTTCTAATTTGAAAGTGTCTATCTGAACCTGCCTGCTGTTGTAGTAGATAGTCCAGCTACCATCACTATCTTTATTGAAATATAAAGCATGAAGCATTCCTTCTCCTTCTATCCATGTGTGACTTGATCTTCCAAATATAGAAACTGTCGATTTTAATCCTCCAAAGAGAGGGTTTGGGCCTGCAAATGCAATAACTTGAAAACAAATTCATAGCATATTGACATATGTAGTATGTACCTAACATAATCACATATGATAGTTTGTGCTGTTGACACTGACATATAATTTAGCACGTTGGTGATGTTTGTTCTTGTACGAAAACTAAGAAATGGACAACTGTCAAGACAGAGAGCCACCACATTTGTTGATCTTGGATCACCTTGTGAACAATGCATTTACAATTTGGATTTATATGCCAAGCTCCTACAATGATTAAATGGTATAAGACCAAAAGATTTCCTCCACGACTTGAACTTATCAAAGGGCTATTATAATAATCTGGTCTTCCATATAAAACCAAGGGGTGGAATGTGTTAGTTTGGATTTGTATACATCATTGTCTACTGTGTCAAGGTTCATTCAAATTTTAAATTAACAAATAAGCCTCATTTTTTATCCTCATTGATCTGTAAATTGTCTCACATTGGCTTCAAACCAACAGTAAAAACAAAAGAATCATATCAAATATGATGTTCGAACATAAAATTAAAGCAAGTTCTATACCATTTGTTATGTAAACACCATCTGGAAAATCATATGGAATCCTTCCTTCCACAGTATTGGTAACAAGAACAGCTTCTTCCATCTCTTCAATCAGGGAAAAGTTACTCTGCCAGTGTACATACATTGGTATAACTTAATATGTAATCAATCAAAATTGTTTTAGGTCAGCAGGTGACATGCATAGGACACTTCCTGCCAACTTAACACGAAATCGATACTGAATTAATGGGTATGGAGTTAAGCTAAAGGGCTTCGAATGATAAACAACCGAATATGTTAAGACACGTTAAGTAACTAAACACATATGAATCTGTTAAAGTTGATTTATACAACAAACCTGACTTTGGGTCCAGTATGATCCCCGAACGACCTAACCCATTGCCAGTAGCAGCATGCATGCATGCAGGTGCAATAAAGGGGACTAGTGCCCCCAGAGGTACCTGGGATAGGAGCAATGGCTGGTCAACAAATTCGAACACTAGATCGACGAAGGCATCTAATAATCTGACTGAAGTGTTTTTTATGGTTTTGGCAACGTCGATCTGTAGGGGAACTTGTTGCAACTCTCTCAAAAATTGCTACTTATCAAAACAAGACTGCATGGTTAGTTATGCTTGGTACAACTTGTAATATTCATACATTTATGAAAAACTTAAGATTTACTTGTTTTCACCCACCACAGAAGAGAAACCAAGTACTCTATATTGTACAGAGAGAGAGAGAGTAATCTACCTTGAAAGGAGAAGAGACTAAGGTCTTGAAATGATCAAATCTGTGTGAAGTGGAAGACCTCTGAATAGAGTCATTCACTTGAAATGCATAATAGCAGGCTGTCATCTCTCTCTCTCTCTCTCTCTCTCGCCGTCTCTGTTTGTGTGTCTCTTTATTTGTATTACACTAAGCCAAAGTCAAGAATAAAAACAGTTTTACTTAGGACAGGAAGATCCAACATAAGCAAAAAGCATCTGGTTTGACATGTTCAAATCATTTGATGTTTACAATACTTAGATTATTTGGTTTATATGACCTAAGGTGTGGACGTTGGAAATTCAGTATGTTTAATCCCCAACCCAGTTACTTTGTTGTCTACAAATTGATTTGAGTTGACATTTTATAGAATTTCTTAACAAAATTGCATTAATGAAAGACAATGGTAAGGCTTGTCCATGTCCATTTTCAGTTTTTGAAAGATCTTTTTTTTTTTTTTTTTTTTTTCAGATTGCAATGGCTTTCAACGAGTATAGTCATGTGATGCAGACAAAAGTGATACTTAGTGTGACACCCCAAAATTCAGGTGTCAGTAATTACCCGATTGATCACCTATCAACCCGTGGATACCATGTAATTTGATACCACGCCATTATGTCCCATTTATCGAGATCTATAACTTAAAAAAATTTGGACAGAGTCTCCTTTGTACGAGGAGCTCTACCCAAAACGTAACATATACAACATTGATCACACCTGGTCTATCCATCCATTCATAATTATATAGTATCGAATACTACCATAGTCATCATCATTACGTACATTCATTTATAAAAGAATAAATGTCTCAAAAGAGTCCCTTATACATGCCTTTTAAATATAAACAAGTTTTTGTTACAAAAATTACACAAGACCAAAAGTAATTATAAACAAGGGACTACGATGTCAAAAGAAGAGCCATAACCGATTCTGTCGTCAAAGTGGACTCATGGCCTCGCCTTCGATGGACGCTTGTGCAATACCTGAAAAATGTTCCCATAAAGGGTGAGCCAACGCTCAATAGGGTAACTCCTATAGAGAATACCTCTCAAACTAAATGCATATGAAATGTTACAACAATCATTTCATGCAATCATTCAAATATGTCTATTATGAACAAATGTCATAAATCATGTCATGCCATGAGATGAGACTCACGAAAATAATACCAACACCGAGCCCCATCCTGAGCTCCTACAACACATGCAATGTCATGCGTATATATCCGGGCATTTCAAGCCCCCGTCATTGGAGTTATGTACATTTAATGACTAATTAATTCATTTTCTTGTGTCTTTGTGTGGAGATGATTTATGTTATTACACCAATGGGACACCAACCATCAACGGATTCTCAGGACATCTCACCTACAGCTTCGTTTTGGCCGTTACACTTTTCTTAGAATTTCACCACCGAAAAGTGTATAAACCAAGTAAGTGGGTCTTGCACCCGAGGGAGAATCTAGTCCTTCTTGCTATTTTCGACACGTTTATCCATTTAATTTTTCATGTGACTCAATCAGACCTTGGTGCGACTTTTCTGAGCTCACAATCAACCTCCTATGTGGTGATTGATTTCATTCCATGCACACACTCCCACCCATGTCAATGCCCATGAATGTAATGTAACTCATGCATAATGACATTTCAATGTGCAATTGCCTTTGGTACCATTTACAATGTCCATTACATAAAGAATACAATATAATGACATTTTCAACATGACAACATGTTTATCAATTTTATAAACATAAACACAAGTCCACCACAATAATTATATGCTAAATAATCATTTAATATACATATTATTCCATAATCACATAACAAGCTAATAGTTTTATTAAACTTGATATGTCATTTAACACATAAAATAATGCTAATGTACAATTAACATGCTTTAAACAACTAACATTAACTTACACTAAGTTAATCATAATAAGATTTTTCTAATTACAAAGTTAATTATAAATAATATATTTGACTCAGTAGTTACACTAGTCAAGACCTAACATGTGATATACACCCATAACCTACCTATTTCATATGTCATATTTTAGGTTGAAAGTAAATCTAAATAGGAGAAACCCTAACTCTCGTAGCGTGAGCTCACGTACTGGCACTCCGAGTAAGCCCAATTTAACTTCCCAAACTTTAAGCCTATATTATCGTCTTTGATATTCTTTCAGAGAAACATATGATATTTAGTGTGGTTACGTAACTCGTGCTGAGTAGAGTAACTTTAATTCTTGACTCGAAGCAATTAAACAGTCCCATCTTTATAGATCTGAAGAAGAAGAAAGGAGGAAAATAATAAAAAAAAAAACTCATTTCCCCCTCTCACTCACTCGGCAGCCAGCTGGAGGAAGAAAAAGTGGAAGACTAAAGTCATCCACACTTATATATATGATAAATTTATAGTTTAAAATTTTACGTTTTTGACCTTATATTTATAATTAATTATTATTTTATCCCTTTAATTAAGATTTTTAATAATAATAATAATAAATTTTTTTTTCCGGATTTTACACTTAGGCACACAAGACTCTCTAGTTTATAACGGTGTTTACTAGAGGTAAATGATGAGTACTCTTATTTCTATTTTGAGAAAAAAAAAAAAAAAACTTGGGTCTTGGAGTTATTGTGATATATCGTTTAAATGGATGAACACTAGTCATTACATCACGTCCCATTTCTAGCACAGTGATATGCTCTTTTTTTTTTTTTTTAATTTAATGGTAAGGGAAATTCACATCAGATTACGCGTACCTCAATTAATCCCTTGGTCTAGTCAAAGACAAGTCATCCACGTTAAGACTAGAAAATTTATGAGAGATAAATCTTTTATAATCTGGTTTCAACGAGTTGTCAAGATTCGAATTCAGGAGGTTTAAGTTTACAGTTTATCCTTTTTACCATTTGAATTAATCTCGGTATTGTGATGTGCTCTATTTGGCACAAAGGAATCCACATTGAACTTATACTGCTAACTCTACCATGGACTTACCCATGTTCCAGCCCACAACTAGCCTACAAACATTGTTGAAAGGCCAACTTGCCTGTCCCTTGGGAAAATGTTGGGTTGTTAACCCATTATTAAACAATTTAAAAGTCATAAAGAGTACAACCTGTGTACAAGAGTCGTGCCTACAATAGAATTCAAGAGACTATGGCAGATTAAACACTACAAATGTGTGAGAACTTGATTTTACTTGCCCAAACAAGACGAGTAGCCAACTCACATGATTCCATTTATATGCGTGAGCTTGACCTGTTGAAGCCTCCCAGTACTTGTCTTGTTTGGGCAGATTATATTCTCAAAAGAACCAGACATCACCCAACCAAAATGGATGTAACCCTTTAAATGGAAGTTAGATTGAGAAAGAGAGAGTTTCTTTGAGGCAGGAAAAACAAAAAAGAACAAAGAATAATAAACCTGACTCCACCATCTGAAGCATGTTTTGAACTGTCAAAATTCTTCTTATAATAAAGAAGATAAGAGTTTGGAGGAATGATACAATAGGAAGGCTCTGTCTGCACATAAGGAAAGGTTATCACAAAGCACAAATTAGGGAAAGACTGAAGTCACATCAAGTTTTGAGATTCAAGTCATTCAAACTTTTGGTCAACGCCAAGCACAAAAAGCTTAACAGTTAGTAACATGCCAAGGCCCCAGTGCCAGTTCTCTCATAAAAAAAAAAAAAAAAAGTGCCAAATGAGGCTGAAAATTTGAATGCCAAATGGCTCCTTGACATCATCAACCTGTGTGGCATTTTGTACATTGGAACAATACTCTGATGATACATATTCAAAGTAAGCAGGTTCATATCCCACCTTTCAACACAATCCAAAAACTTTGTATATCAGTTAGTTTGAATATTTAGAAGATGCCAATACCAAACTAAATGGCATCAATTGATTTGCCAGCTTATGAGATTCTACATTTTTTGTGACCGTCACCGGACCTTTAAAATCAGAGTTTATTTAAGTCAAGTCAAAAAACATATCAATGACATTTTAACTCATTTTTAAAAGCAACTTAAAAATATAATTTGATTCATTTCATAATTTTAAACGAACTAAAATAGATCCAAACCCGAACTAAGTTTTAAACGATCTAAGTCGTCTAAAGGAGGAAGCCAAAAAATGAGTGGCTTTTACGTAATATATGTGAAGATATCATATGGGCATGTTTGCCTGAAAACAAGGGACCACCGCCACAATAATTATTTCCCAGTCACCTTAGGAAATTTGCACCCAAAAAATTTAAGAATTTTTATGTTGTACCTTTAAAAATTAAATTATTTAATTATAATGTCAATTTATTAAAGCGTCCCTTATATTAGTTTCTATTGCTCGTTTCTTCAAAAGTACCACATTGACATTGATGGAACGAGTAAAAAAAATTAATGAAAGGGTTACATTGAAATATTTGTAACACATGGGGGTGTAATATAAGATTTTAATTTACAAATTAAGAATTTTTAAATCTTATGGGGGTGGAAAGTGAAATTCTCCCTATAAATATTCCCACGTTTTCCCACTCTCAGCCAACAGAGATATAAAAGCACAGAGCTTGAACACTTGGGGAAGCTGAAGAAGCGCCATATATGTAGATATCATCAACTCAAGCAGGCAATTCTAAAACTCATACAGGTACTTCAAAGCTTTAATTATATGTATAAATGTTAATTTTCTGTTTGGTGGTTGCGAAAATTGTAATAAAGAAAAGAAAAGAAAAGAACAACAGAGAAAATCAGTCAACTCAATCTTCTTTAAGCCTGTTTAGAATTATTTTAGTAGCTTAAACAGCTAGCAAAATTAAGATCTCTCCGTTTGACTGTTTCGTTTACCTTTTCTTCATGTTTTCTCAGCATCCAAACATAGCTTGACTCTGATGATTTCTCTATTTCCATCTCTTTCTCCCTTTGGATCTGGTATTTCTAGGAATTTTGTTTTTAGAGGTAAATTGTGGTACTTTCATTTGGTTTTTTCACGCATTCTAGGGTTTTTTATTTGGGTGTTTTTGGATTCTCTTATGTATGCTAGTAACAGGGTGGTTGTTTGCTTTGCTGGAGAATGAGAGAAACTGCTTGTTGATTGATGATTAATGTTACTTCCTGTAACACTTGAGTTGGGCTTTGTTTGGCTGATGTAGAAACAGAGTAATAATTAATAAAAAGGACTGGTAGTTTCTCTTTATGTCTTTTTTGGTCATGGAGAAATGGTTACAAGCTTTCTCTATAGATGATTCAGACAAACTGGGGGCAAGACTCGAATGGGTTGGGATGTTGCCAGCGGACCCATTGCCATTTGGCCATCCCAGGCTTTATAAGGGCAAGTAATTTGAATTGCTTTGTTATTTTGTTTTATTATTATTAGTTTGTTTTTGTTTTTTTTTGTGATTTCATGATGTGCAATGAATATCGAACTCCTGAAGCTCATTAATGAATTTTTGGTTCTGTGAAATTTCGTCTGCTTATGAATTTCCTTAATGGGTTTCTTTTAATTGCACTTGAGGATTGACTAAAGTAGGCCTCTAGTTTAGAAATAAGAAAACCAATCTAACTAGATTTGGGTCTTGGGAATTTGCAGGGGTGGTGTAGAGGTCTTCAAGTTTTATCAACCATTTGATCAAGTCTTCTTGATATGGGGCATGACCTTCGATATACCTGCCAGATGGAAACTAGGAGACTGCTATGGCTAGTGGGAGTGGTATTCGCCATAGTTTTGACAATTCAGTATTTTGAACTTCCTAATGTTTTCTCATCTTTATTTTCTGCTGGTGAGACTCAAATACTGGTACTCGAAACGTCAGCAACAGGAAACTCATCCCTAAGCCCCCAAATATCAGGGAATCTGAAAATTTTGAACAGTTCGAACTCAGATTTCACAACTGCTATTCATGATACAAATAATATAACAAATATCTCCGAGGCAAATGGATATACATCAGAAAGGGATGGAGGCTCAGATGAATCCCTTGTATTAGATGAGGATGGTGATCCTGAAGATGAATCTTCATCTGAGAACGTCATAGAGATAAACAACACTTCAACAGTGGAGAAGACAGATAGAAATAATAGCCCGGCACCGGAAAAGGCCAGAGAATCTGACTATACTAGTAATAGAAATTCCTCATTAGGCAGTATTCAGAAAGAACATCTTCCTTTCGCTTCAGAAGAAAATGGGAATTTAGATAGTAATCCTGCTATCCCTTCATTTGGATCATCCCCAATAATTTCACCATCTCCCTTATCTCCACAAAATGTGGCTACGAATTCAGGAATTCCTGCAATATCTTCCAACCCTAAAATATCTTCAGTTGATAAAGGTGCAGTTGTCAGGACTAATATTCCAGCTGGGAAGGAAAGGTCTGAGAGGCCATTGGCAGAAGTAATGTCAGTATCTGAAATGTATGATTTGTTGCGTCAGAGCCGTGCTTCATCTCGTTCAATGGTATGCAAAGGATTTTCATTCTAGTTTGGTTACAGATATTGAGTTGGATACAGGAGTTGTTGCAACTGATTTTTGAATCTGTGTGCAGAGACTGCGATGGTCTTCAGCTGTTGATCAGGAATTATTAGTTGCGAAGTCACAGATTGAAAATGCACCCATCATAAGAAATCATGGCCTATATGCTCCTCTATATCGGAATGTTTCCATGTTTAAAAGGTAAATCTATCATCTTCTTATATTGGATGTATGCTAGGTCACTTCTTTTGGTTTACTTCTTTCATCCTCTTGATGTGTCTGTTTTGTAATGTTGCCACGATTTACTGTATTAGACACGAACTCTGTTATACCTCTATTTGCATTTTCACACAACCAAATTCAGCTGCCCTTTCGCAACCACCACTACTCATGCAATTTCTCCCTCTCACACACACACAGACTCTTACAAAGATGTACTATCACCGTCAGTGGGGTTTTTTATGTTATAGAGAAGGTGAAGACTGTGAAAGAGGTGTCTTTGATACAAAATAGTAATCCAGTTTTTGATAGGTGGGAACATATTGGCAATTCAATTGATATACCAGTTATGCTGCTTGAACTAACTTACAATTACTTTCTGAAACTAACTTAACAATTAAAAAAATACGTTGGATTTAGTTTATATTTTTGGAATAAATTGAAATATGATTATTTTGACTTGAATACCTTTCACCAGAGTTTGTGACAATGGCTGCCCCTTAATAACTAGTTTTTAGCAATTTTTATAAAGAATATTTGGGTAACATAGGGTTAGGGAAGATTGTGGAAGTCCTTACGGGAATTTTGCCCCTTTAATGTGTTTTTTTATTGTGGTAAGCCCGCTGAATAAGACTGATTGGCATACTTATTATCAATTATCATTCCTATGTATTAAACTTCATAGTGAAAGTGTCTGAACCATCAAGCTTGACAATTGATAATTAACACCAAAATGCAGATGCTCTTCAAAAAGTAAAGAAGCTGAAGAATTTATGATTGAACCAGTCAAATTGTTTGGATAGATAAATGTTCTCTCACTGAATTGTGCAACTGCACAGATAGAAGGGTTTCTTATTTTCTTATTTGTTTTTTGTTATTTTAATTGTTTTAAAGAGGCTAGAGCTAGAATAGGCTTGGGGTATTTATAGCTGAGTGTGCTTTGTGTACATTCTATACAGACAAAATTAACCTTGCACCTCATGACCTCTCAGATATGTCATGAAAAGAACCCCTGCTTCCTTAATGGTGCAATCATCTTTCATTGAGCAAGCACCTCGCGTGAATCAATAGTCATGTTGTGAGCATTAGAAAGACAAGGTGTTGGTGTTTTGGATTGTTAATCATCTGCTCGGGTTTCAATTTCAAGTTACTGACATATCTGTTGCATGGATGTGGGTTTAAGTATGAGAGTAGATAAAAACATTGCATAGTCAAAGTTGCCATTTTGTTCAATAGTTCCTTGAAATGTCTCTTACACCCCTACTTTTTTTCGGTAAGAAAAAATATTGGCACGACCCGTTTATCTATCTCTGTTTAGTTATTCAGAGGAGTGACAATATATTTTATCATTTTTCCCAAGACATTCTTGATGGCAGTCGACTTCTAGCCCTCCCATGCTTTGATAGCTTGGTGGTGGGAATCTGATTGCCTTTCATAATAGTAGATATAGACGTGGGGATTAAAACTAAGTTGTCATTCTTACTCTGGGGGACTTATTTCTCATTTTGATTATTAATGTTAGGACTCTTTGCTTTAGGGTTTTGATAGTCACTATATCTAGGGAATTGTGTAAAGGTTTGGGACAGCCTTTGATTATTGGTTTATTGAAATTATTAGTCTTTCCCTAATCTCCTCCTTCGACCTTTTTTTTTTTTCCCTCCTTCACTTTCCTTCCCCCAATTCCCTTCCCAGTCTACATTAGTTGGGTAAGCCTTGTTTTCTTAGGTGCAGAAACAAAGAAATGAGGGGGGTCCTACCATGGGGACAGTTTCTGATTTGCCTATTAGCAGGGTTGGAAAGTAGTAGAAACACTTCATTGTGTTTGGAGTTTCACATAAAGTCCTCATAATATATATTCACATTAGTGAATATTCTCCACCGGTTTTAAATTTTGAGTTAATGCTTTTTAAATGAAATATTCATCCCGTCTTATTGAAGATGTCGTGTACTTTGATCCAAAAATCTCTTAAGCAAAAAAGTTAACTAATATTGCTCACGTGAATTGCAAAATGAATTTGTTTAGTAAGGCCTCATCGTGAAATGCAGGAGCTATGAATTAATGGAGCAGACATTGAAGGTTTACATCTACAAGGAGGGTGAAAGACCCATATTCCATCAGCCAGTGCTCAAGGGAATATATGCTTCAGAGGGTTGGTTCATGAAGCTGATGAAGGCAAGCAAACACTTTGTTACGAAGAATCCAAAAAAAGCCCACTTATTTTACTTTCCTTTTAGTTCTCGAATGTTAGAAGAGACCTTGTATGTACCTAATTCTCACAACCGCAAGAACTTGGTTCAACATTTAAAGAACTACCTTGACATGATTGTGGCAAGATACTCTTTCTGGAATAGAACTGGTGGAGCTGATCATTTTCTCGTTGCTTGCCATGACTGGGTACGATTGACTGCCTTTTTGCGATTTAAGTTTTGTCTATGAAGATACTAAGGGATTCAGCTTCCATATGGATGTCTAACTATTCCTTTTTCTCCCATAGCTTTCAACTGTGCTTTTGCTTTTTGTAGCATTCCAATGAAACTGTTTTGTTGCATCTAGTATTCATTTCCAAACCAAGTACAGGCCCATATAATTTTTTTTTCCGGTGATGACTATAATTTTTGGTGATGGATATGATGCTTTAAATGCTGTGCAAAATGAATGGAGTGCTTTTGTTTTGATGTGCATATGTCTCCGTTGAATAATTAAATGTTTTAAATCTCTTACCAGTATAATTATCATTTTTTTCAGGCTCCATCTGAAACAAGAGATCATATGCCTAATTGCATTAGAGCACTCTGCAATACTGACATCAAAGAAGGCTTTAAATTGGGCAAGGATGTGTCTCTTCCAGAGACATATGTACGCTCGCCTCAGCATCTCTTAAGAGAACTTGGAGGCAAACCTCGTTCTGAGAGGCGAATTCTTGCTTTCTTTGCTGGAAGTATGCATGGCTATCTCCGTCCTATTTTGTTGCAATACTGGGAAAACAAAGATCCTGACATGAAGATCTTTGGCCGGATGCGTAAGGTCAGGGGACAGATGACCTACGTCCAGCACATGAAGAGCAGCAAGTACTGCATATGTGCTAAAGGTTATGAAGTCAACAGTCCTCGAGTTGTGGAGGCCGTCTTCTACGAGTGTGTTCCAGTGATTATATCAGATGATTTTGTGCCTCCCTTTTTCGAGGTTTTGAACTGGGACTCCTTTGCTGTTTTTGTTTTGGAGAAGGATATTCCAAATTTGAAGAACATTCTCCTCTCGATCCCAGAGAAGAGGTATCTCCAGCTGCAGAGGAGTGTTAAGCAGGTGCAACAACATTTTCTTTGGCATGCTAGGCCTGTCAAGTATGATGTATTTCACATGATACTCCACTCGATATGGTACAACAGAGTTTTCCAAATAAACCCCAGATGATATTTGTGTATCTACTATGCAAAGATTGTCTGAAATTTTTTTTTTTTTTTTTTCCCGTTACCTCTTAGTGGGGAAGTAAAAGTTGGAAATGTTATAAACCAGCAACAGGTCAGAAAGTTTATTGTAATGAGGGATCATATTGTAAGCTGTATATAGATTAAACAGCAAAAAAAATTCTTTACTGTACAAATCTCTCTCTGCAGATAAGTATATGAAGGTGATAGGTACTGTGTTCATGGAGGCTCATTTGGATTTCTCAAATTTCACATCATTTACATAATAATCATACACATCCAATTCATTAGGTACACTTTGCAATTGAGACAATCAAACTGAACTTGAGTTACTCGGATCGTTTAATAGTAACACATTATCTCTTCTCTACCTTATATGAAACTTATAAGCTGCTGTATCACAGCAAAGAACAGAAGTTTCTCAGAATTTATCAGCTTTCAATTTTGAAGTTTTCACCAAATTCAAACATTTGATAGCTGCCTTTCTCTTTCTGATTCTTCTGTTCTTCTCTCTCTACCAACAAACCATTGAACTGTTCTCCTAGCTATTGGCAACCAAAGCCTTCTTATCCTCTCATCCTTTCCATTGTTTCCCAACGACAAAGATTCTCTGATCCTGTTCCTAATACTGGATTCTGGGAATCTTGAAAGATTTGTAATTTCCGAAATCGATCGCTTCTCAGCTGGATTCAGTGTTCTTGAAGCCGCCTTCTTGTTTTCTTCAATGTTGAATATAGGAGAAAAGGTTGAAGTTGAACTTGAAACTGAATAGCTTCTAGTAATTTTACCAACCTTAGACTGGTGCAATCTTTTCTTTTCTATGTCATCCTTAATCTTCATAATTTGTTCATTCGTCGAAAACCCGGGTGGAGAGAATCTTCTGCTTGAAATAGCACTGATCATCTCAGAATTTAAAGACATTAAGTCTGAGGAATTGACATCACTCCATCGGCTTTTGTAAACGATATCAGACACTATGATCCTGTGTTTGAACTTATGCAAGAGCTGTCGATTTTCATCCTTGGTGCCACCTTCTAAGATCAAAAGCTTATCTTTCTTTGCCTTGCCCAATTTTCGAAAACTGCTTCCAATGTTGAACCTTGATGATCTATGATGATCTTGCTCTCTGCGAACGAAAAGTTTGAGATTTGGATCCTCTGCTGGATTAGAAGAGTTTGGAGGGTATCTCAAACTGTTAGTGTAAGTGAAATTTGTGAGGTCCCCAACATCAAACTTGTACCTGCAAAGAGGACAAGTAGAGTGGCTTTCTAGCCACTCATCAATACAATTCATATGGAATGCATGCCTGCACTTGGGCAATAACTGGAGGATTTCCGAATCCTCGAATTTTGATAAACAAACAACACATTCTAGGCCTTCTTTAGAGCCATTAAGGGAAGAAAATCTGAAAAAGGGGAGTGATTCAATCACTGTTTTATCAATCCCTGAAGATCTTGATCTCGATCTGAGAAGTCCATGGAGGTTTTCCTCATGAGTTAAGTGATCAACCAGACTTGGGCGGCAGAACTTGGCAAAAGCAAGTACAAAAAATGTTACTGAGAACATAATTGCGAGGACAACGGTAACAACTGCCATGCTCGGGTGAAGAGGATTGAGACCATGTTGATGATTAGCCGAGTTTTGAGCTTTGACATGGGAGGACAGCAAGAAGAGAACTATGAAGAACAGTCCCGTTTGATTCATTGAGCAAATGGGAACACAAACTGTTGTCTAGATTTCTCTATGATCACTGCTCCTTATGTGAACATTGCAGGCTGATATGTGATAGGTCTCTCTCTCTTGTCCAAAAGATTTGTTTACTCAGATTCTTTGCTTATAGCAATTTTTATATATAATCAAGTGGTTTCGTATTTGGTTGTCTCTGTCTGTCCTAATTGGAGTACTAAGTTTATTGGCAATGGCATCTTTTGAGTTTTCTGATGCAGAAACTGCTCGAGACAAAGAGACAAAAAGACAAAAAGCCAAATACGCTTCTGTCCCTGTGAGAACTCGGACATCAGGCTCTATGCCTCTGTTTATGACCCAAAGTAACTTGGAGCTTGGTTTTTGAGTATACTCACTCAAAATTCATGCCTGAAAATGATTTCGCATAATAGTACCGAAGATTTACTTTTTAGTTCAGTAGTATAACCAATTTATTTATTTTGGTCCAACTATACTACCGAGAAATTACTTTTCAATAAGTTATGTCTTTTTTCAACCAATTAGAATGTGACATGTGTAAAGTTTCTTTATTTTATGTATCATTTTACTTTATTATTTTCATGATCAACGCAACGAATGAATCGGCCAAAGATCTATGACTATAAATCAGTTTTTGATATGGTATCAAAAAATTGTTTAAGATTCCATAGTCTTATCCTTAGATGGCGAGTTTTGGCGCAGCAATAAGACTATTCTATTATGAACTAAGCATTAAGAGTTCAAATCACAGACATCTCATTCTTCCCAGACTCGCAGTGGCACCAGTATCATGTACTGATCTGCTTTTTTTTTTTTACCATAGTCTTATCCTTATTTATATGTTTAGTGGGCCCCAGTTGACTGTCTGATTTGGAGGATTCTTTTCCATCTCTGTCTGTCTTTATACAAAATCAATAGTAAATACAATGCCAGGCTTTCACTTTCATAAACCTATCCAAAAATGGAGTGAAGTGGACAATTTTTCTAGTGAGAAACAAGGAATCCTTTCCAGTGCCCTACCCTCAGGCCCTCTCTGTCTGTATGTTTATGTTTTTTCCTCCTCCAATAGAACTTGGCCTGCATTGCCATACTGAAATATATGCAGTTTTGTAGTTGGTTGTTGTAGAAAATATAGATCCAAAATCTAGAAGATAACTCCTAAAAACTCCGAGTTAGAAAATTAAATAAGTTCCAAGCTTTGCATACGACTTACACGTAAGGGTTCTTATAGATTTGTGCTTCTTTTTTCCACAGGCGCCATTTTCACCAAAGTTAACAGAGCTAAGCAGTCATAAGGTGACTGCCACAGTAGGAAGGTCTGAAAAAATTCATTGCCATTTGTCTCAATCGGATCAAGTAAACATCCAGAGCGTGTTTGCCTCAAGGAGAGAAGAGGGTCTTTGAGCTGTCTTCATAGCAACGGCTTATAAGTTAAAACTTCCAAGCAGCCACAACAAATCTAGAACCTACTTTTGGTCAAAACCACATAAATGGTAGCTCCTGCTCCTTCCAAGGCATCTTGACAGTTAATTGTATTCCATGAGTACGATCTTATCGAGCCTTAGTAGTCTCTTGACTTTGCTAAGAGCTTCGGATGCATTAGAAATGAGAAAGGATTATAGCATCTGTGATCTTACAGTTGTTTGTCCATGTTACTTGGAATTGTTTAGTATGAAAATGCTTAAAAAAATCTATTTGCAAGGAGGGGTGTTCAAATTTCTTATTATCCGAATATTCTGATCTTACCTGACCTTAACCCACACTATTGATCGGCTACCGCAAAAAATTGGATAGGCAAACGAAAGAAATTTTGGTATTCTGCAATAATCAGGTAAGAATGCGGAATACGCATACAAATTCTGTCTTTCGATCCGACACTATCCACACACACACACACACACACATATATATATATATATATATTTGTGTATGTGTGTGTTAAATTTTTAACATTTTAACACTATTAATGTGTGCAAAAACCACAAACTAGAAACACTGTTAATGTGTTAAATTTTTAACCTTTTTAACATTATTGTCTTAGTTAATTGGTGCATGTTACTCAATTGAATTATTAAAATAATCCAAAAATTAATAATTAAAAAATATTGTGTTCACCCGATTGTTTTGGACAAAATTTGGGTAAAAATAACACACTTGATCGGGCAGGATAAGCGAAGAAAAATTTATTTCGCAACGTATCGAATAAGAAGATGAAATACTGTAATTCCTACCCGTTGGTACGGTGAAATAAAGAAATTTCGATTTAAACATTGAATGAATACAATTTCATCAACTGTCACACCTTATTACAAGTTGAAACCATGATATTTGTTGGTTTTGGATATATTTAGCATAAGTATTTGTGTTGCAGATCTTCTAATCTTCAAGTTGTGAACTTACTGACATGAAAGCTCCATGAAAACCATATGGCACTCTACCAGGCAGAGTAATTTTGGCAACTGGCTCGCTTGAAATATTTTTTGTGTCGACTATATAAACCTGCAAGAAGAGAGTTAAACATATCTGTAAAACCCTGCAATAATATAGGAGTCTACATAAACACTGGTTAATGGTTGTGAAATAACTTGCCTGAGACATGTTCGTGTTTTCATTATGCACAAATGTAATTATCCAACCATCGTCTTCTTCAAGACCTCCAACTTTAGGAACAAAAGTGGCTCCTGAGCAGAAGGTGTTCTCCGGAAAGCTATGGTACTCAACCTTTATCAGCTTGTTCTTCAAGAAATAAAAATAAAAATCTTTATCAGCTCTTCGTGTTGTTTGTTTTCCTATTTCACAAAATCAAAGATAGCAAAGGGTGTTCTATGCAAAGCTATATGAATGACAGGAGGGACAAAAGAAGGTGCTGGAGCCTACTAATTCCCAAGACAATCCATTCTCTGGTTCTTCAAAGTATAGCTTGGCTAGACCTCCATATTTTGCCCTTCCTGCAATTTAACAAATTTGACAAAACCATTATTCTCAGAGATTAAGCTCTCATATACATAATGGTAACATTTTTACCTGAAGAGGAACTTGCAATTGAATCAACAACTTGGGCGTACCCAAATTTGTTTTTGCTACCGATGAAGTTTTCATTGATCATAGGAAATTCCATAGAAAATTTTGTTCCTGTGAGATTCCTTTCCTTCACCTCTGTTGTTTTCATGTTTAATCTCCACTCGTGGGCACGAGAAAAAAAAATCCCATCTTGAGTCATATTGTCACCATTATCTTCAACAGAGTTCATATGCATATAACCTCTAGAAAACCACTCATATTTGTTCAAGCCTAGATCAGGTCCCGGTATAACTGATCCACGAGCTTTACATGCCCACATTACTACCTGCTCATTCTCATCCAAACACAGTTTTAATTCAAATTTATCTTTTCATTTAACCAAAGACATGGGCTTAAGGAAACGGATGCAATATTTACTTATTACCTCATCACCATCCTCGAAACAATTGAAAATGTGAAATACACTACTTGGTTCCACTTCAAACCACTGGATGGAATCTGCATCACCATAGCGAGGCATAACTCCAATCCTGGCATATCCTTTCTTGTCATACTTCATCAGCCTACATATAGCGAAAATTACCATAAAAAAACCAAAGTGTATTCCTCGACTTTTTTAGGCCTTTCCTATATAATTTGTTTGTTTGCTGAAGCCATTTATAATTGAATGTTCAGAATACACACTTACGGGCCTCCGCCAATGAGTCGATTTATGTCTATAACCACTGGAAAATCAATGATCACATTGTACCTGCAGACCAAATCTGCATTAATTCCACACTGAAATTATAATCAACTTTGAAAACTTCAAATTGCGAAAAAATTTGTTGATTAGTACTTAAATACCTCTGTGTAACCCCAATATCATGGCACAGGCTACACCTTCTAAATTTGAGATCAACTCTATGAATTAATTTGTTTCCATCAGCTGGAAAAGGACAATGAACTTTAAGATAGTAACAAATTAACAACATTTAAAAAGTGGTTCTAGACGCTAATTTTGAGCTAAACTACTGAAGTATATACCAGAGATCACTCCCAACTCAAAGTAAGGTTTTTGTGCATCAAACCCCATCATAACGAGCTCTCCAGTTCCTGGAGCTTTCTGTATCATTTAAAATGTCACTTGAGCGTAAAGTAATCTGTTTGACATCAAAACAAAATTCTATTATTCTTGTATGGTTTCAGTACCTTTGGGTGACTAGTGAATGGTCGATTCCATGCTCCACTAACATCCCAATTACCCAAAGTTTCTAGCGTGAAAATGTCGATCTCTTGAGGCACGTGGTTCTCAGCAATTGAGTAAAACTTCCCTGAATGCTCGAAAATATTCGTATTGCTAATGTGTTTGTTTACATCGCCAAATCTCAACTGCAAACAATTAGTTATGTCGAGTAATGAAATTACTACTGTTATGGTGTACTTAATCTTTCACAAAGCTTTTAGACAATGGATTTTGGCCAAATAATGTGTTCAAATTACTTGTTTCTAGCATTTAAGGTTGTCCATGCCAGGCTATTGATGGCTTAATGTATAACGCATATAATTCATAGTTGAATTGGACAGTTGATAGAATGCTTTAGTTTAACAAGGATGAGTTCCGCGTATATTAGTACTTATATTCCTAATAGTTTGAGCTATTTGTTTATCAAATATGCAAAAATGGGCCTCCTTAGTTTTCAGAAAATGAGTTGCTCCAAGTTGAGGCACCGTAATTCAATCAGGTGAAGGCTATTGAATTGTTGTGATAATCTTCTTACCAAATTTAGCAGATAAGCTGACAAAATTGCTGGGGAATCTCCTTCAAGTGCAGGAAGAAAAGATGGTTTCTTTCTTTCTTTTTCTAATTTCAAAGTCTCTGTTTGAACATGCCTGTTGTTGTAGGAGATAGTCCAGCTGCCATCACTATCTTTATTGAAATTTAAAGAATGGAGCATTCCTTCTCCTTCTATCCATGTGTGACTTGATCTTCCAAACATAGAAACTGTCGATTTTAGTCCTCCAAAAAGAGGGTTTGGGCCTGCAAATGCCATAACATACATTGTTCACATTGTTTTATAACTTTGCATGTTGGTGATGTTTGTTTTTTGTGAAAAAAACAATTGGAATTAAACAATGGGAAGACAGAGATTAACCTCATTGGTTAATCTTTGTATCACTTTGTTAACAAGGGATTTACAATTTGGATTTATATGCAGAGCTCCTACAATGAGTAAATGCCATAAAACCAAGAATTCCTCCATGATTTGAACTTAGCGTTGGATTAGGATTATTAAAGTCCAACCCCTTTTACATAAGTATAATCGATCAAAACCAGTATAATATGGTCCTCCATCTAATACCAAGGGGCAGAAAGTTGTACCAAATGAATTTGGATTTATATGCAACTAATATGGATAGTGCCAAGGTTTATTCGTGGTCATCCAAATTTTCACTTATCCTTGTTAGTGAACTTATTTGTGTTCTAAGTACCAATTTTTTTCGATGTTTTCTGGTTATCGACCAAACAAAGAAAAACCTTGCAATTGTTGTCTTGGTTATTTAGTAAATTCTCACACATCTAGATAGAAATGAGCCATATAAACTAAGGAAAGGCATAAGATATAATAATAATCAAGTGGCTAAAGACAGCACTGACAATTACATTAAATATAATGTTGGGTGATAAAATTAAAGCAAGTTGCATACCATTTCTTATGTAGATACCCTCTGGAAAATCATATGGAATACTTCCTTCAACACTGGAAACAAGAACTGCTTCATCTATCTCTTCAACTGGAGCAAAGTTACTCTGATAGTAAACATGTTTTGTAGATACAATTAATGTTAATTAATCAAAACTGTTGCATGTCAGCATCTTTGCAAGCATGCATGCAAGTGCAATGAAGAGGATTAGTGCCCCTGTAGTACCTGAGATGGGAGCAATGGCTGGTCAACAAATTCGAACACACGATCGACAAAGGCATCTAATAATCTCACTGGACTGTTTTTGATGGTTTTGGCAACGTGGTAGATCTGCACGGGGACTTGCGGAAACCCTCTCAGAAATGGCTGCTAATGAAAACCAGATTCTATGAGTTATGCTTGATATAACTTGTGAAAATTTTCACTTCGACATGTTTTGACAACTAGTATTCTGATAGTGTTAAATTCAGCTTTTGACAAGGTGCTAGAATATATTCAAGCAATAACAATTAACCACTGGACTTAGTTTTAAGATTCTTGAATATAAACAAGGGAAATTGTAGAGAAAGTCAGGTTCTCACTTTTAAATATCAGAGATAAATTTTTCTAAGCCCATATGAGAATATATTAGCCACTAAAGATTTACTTGCTAACACCAAAAAAAATAACCAAAGTTTCAACTTTTATGTCATATGGGGGGGGGGGGGAGAGAGAGATTAGTTTGCCTTGAAAGGGGAAAAGAGTGAGTTTTTGAAGTGATCAAATATGTGTGAGGTGAAAGGCCTTTGAACAGAGCAATTTACTTGCCTTGAAAGGGGAAGATAGTGAGTTCTTGAAGTGATCAAATATGTGTGAGGTGAAAGGCCTCTGAACAGAGCAATTCACTTGAAATCCATAATTGCAAACAGCCATTTTCTCTCTCTCTCTCTCTCTCTCTCTTAACTCCTCTCTTTATCTTAACTCTTACACTTGTAGACTTCTATATATACTTGGTTTTTGGCTTAATATGCTCCGAGATTGGTGCAATTAGAATTTGTGGAGCTAATAGTGAACACTAAGCCAATTTTAAGAATAAAAACTGTTTTATTCAGGAGATGAAGATTCCATATTATAAAAAGCATCTTATAATTATAATATTTTGTTAATTATAATGTATTGTTAATAGTTTCGAGCATGCGATGTTATGATACTGACTTATTTGGTTTGTATTGAGGCCAAAGGTATGTGGTGTCATTTTCATAAATAAAAACGACCCCACAATTTCATTTGAATTTTGCCATGTTATTGAGGGTTCTTAAGAAAATTGCATAAATAAGAGAAATTGGTTAGTCCTTTCCAAGTCCATTCTCAGTAGTCGTACTGTGTTTGATCATGTGGTCCGTTCTAATTCGCACTGGATTCGATATAATCTTTGGATATTAATTGGAAAATTTCATGAGCCTTGGTGTATATGGATTAGTGGGTTTATTGGAAACCTTTTTTTTTGAAGTAGATCTTGTACACACCTCGACTAATTCTCTTTTCGGTACGATTAAAGACAGGTCATTCACGCCGGGACTAGGTTATTTATTGGAAATCTTCAATAGAGTATGGTCATTAGATGTATATGTGTAAACCCCACATGTCTAAACTATCAACAATCGTCCAATTAGCTTCATTTTGTATTTAACGTCTCCATTTACATCCTAAATCAAAATATAAGAATAATATGTATATTTAGGCTCCAAATAAGTATAAAAGGCTAAATATTAAAAGAGAAAAAAAATATGACATTTTACATTCTCATCAATTAGCTAACTTAGAGGAATTAAAGAAAAATATTGATGGATATACTAGTTTTACATCATGTTGTTATAAATGATTTTAGAAGACGGATGATAATTTAGTTTTGGTTAAAGAATGATGCTAGAGATGAATCTTTATGCAAGTCATACTATCTATATTGGAGATGGGTATGAGATAGAATTTGTGACAAAAGACACCAAAATTCTAATTAGACAAGTATAGAAGAACCAAGCAGTCCGGCAGACTACCTTTCACCAATTTGATCATAACTCTTTGTTGAAAAGTCCAAATTGTGCACCGTTATTTTTGTTAGAACCCTAACTTGTATATCTTTCCAACCATATAGGTCACACATACTAGAAATACCTAAGTCAAATCAGTTTATTCTCTAAAGTTGATCAAAAAATCTGCACTGTGGTGTTCCTTGGATGGTAAAATATTGTGCTTTCTTCTTAGACTTATAAGGTATAAACTCTCACATGTTTATATTAATATAGTAATGTACTTATTTAGTGATTCTTATATATGTAATGACGTAAAAATAAACTATATATATTGAAACCGTAAGAATAAATACTATGGAGGAATAAAATAGTAATTTTAATATTTCGAATGTAAATTTATTTTAGTTTTAAAATAAATCATAAAAATAAATATTTTTAGGTTAAAATAACATTAAAAATGAATCCGGAACGTCGAAAAATCTTAGGATAGTTATATGGATCAAATTGAAAATTCTTAGTGGTAAAACTGTAATTTTGGAAAAACCAAAAACAGCCTGTGAATAGTAAAAATCGGGGCTGCTGTGTTTAAAAACCCATTTTCATCCCATTTACTCTCATTCTCTTCACTCCACTCTCACCTCACACCTCTTGGAACCTTAGAGGAAGATTAAAGAAGGAAAAAAGGGAAGAAAGAGGTTATTAGAGCTTGGGTTCTTGCTCGAAATTTTGATTCAAGTAGGAGTTTTTTTCTATTCTCTTATATTGAGGCTAAGGTTATACATATATATTTTCTTTGACTCTACATCATATTAATATTCTATAAAATCATAGATTCTTGATTTTTTGCAAATGTTAACATGTTTTAAACAATGGGATGGTTGGGTAACCATCAAAGTTTTTTTCTCATATTAAAAACCGTAGATTTCAAGAGAAATGAATTTTTCTCTTGATTTCTCATTTATTCTTGATTTCAAAACTTTAGTGTTTCGTATTGTACAACACAATGGTATTTATGATGATCTCTTGTTAATATTTTTTAAATTGTTCCATTGTGAAATAAATGTGAATTTGGATGTGAAAAATTAGGGATTTATGGAATTGAGTGTGTTTGAGAAATTGTTGGTGATTGTATCTCATGGAGGTGTTTGCATGACCATGGGTGGCCATTGATCGGATATCGTAGAGTGGGTAGATATGTGTGGTTTTTACTCCGTGTGAGTTTGAATTTTTCCTACCACTTGTAGTGGGGTTGGTGTCTTGCGAGGACCAAACCACTATTAGCTCACGAGTGTTGTGTTAGTGGATTAGTATACTATCCTTGGGTCGGATTGTTATTGCCAGTGCATTGGTATGGAACAATGCATTGGTAGGCACCCTTCCTGAAGTTGATATCCTTGAGAGGAATTGTGTGTGTGTGGGCCAGGATATTCTCTATGTATTTATTCATGCGATTATCTTACATCAAACTTGAAATACATTGTGATTATTGTTTATTGCGTTATCTTTTGGATATGATTATCTTGAAAATTATTGTGGGAATAATTGCTCTTTGGAATGATTGTTTATGGTGGGATTGACTTTACTCTTGCACTTAATTATTGTTAATGTATAAACTTGAGATCTTTCAAAATGTCATATTTTCTTTCAAAATTTACGTATGCTATTTATGAAATGAGACCGATCATTTTCTACGTTTTCTAAACCTTGTTAGAGTTTGAGAGGATTTTCCTACAATGCGTAGTGCTCACCCCTTACCAATAATATTTTTTTTTAGATTTCGTGCTAGAGGAAGATCTCGTCATTGACGAGCCGGGAAATTGGGAGGTTCCACCAGAGGGGAACCTAGATCTCGAGGTGGACATCTAGAGCTATAGTGTATTTTTGTGCTAGACTAAGGAATTTATTTACAATCATGTATAGTCTAGTATTTTGTTTATTCCGCTACTAAGTTTGAGTGTAATTCTTTTAGAATGTAAGTGTCATAGCTTGGCCTATTCTTTTGAGATGATATGGTGGAAATTACATGTGGTGAATGAAATTTTATTATTTGATGGGTAAATGGACCTGATGTGGTCAATATTTATTCATATATGGACCTGGTGTGGTCAATTTAGTATAATTGCACAAGTTGTGTTTTGAATAGAGCTCCCCATATAAAAGAGACTCTGCCCAAATTTTGTTAAATTAAGGACCCCCAATTTTTGGGGTGTTACAGATTTGGTATCAAAGCTTAGGAATTAGGTCTTACATGAGAGCTGTAGGTTATGGATTACCAATAGAAAAGTAGGAGTAGGTTGAAGAAAATTGTTGATCTAATTTTATACGAACCTTATGCTTTAGATCAAAGTGATAACTAGGATATCTTGTACATCAATGAAACTAAATTGTGAATTGATGTGCAGGATGGACGTTGGACGTGGGCGTGGTCGGGGAGGACAAGCAAATCCACCACCATCACCACCTCCCGATGCCATAAGCGGCATATATCAATGTTTGAGGGAGCTCACCACTTTGGTACAAAACCATAATGGAAACAACAACCATAATGGTGGAGCTCACCCCCTAGCACAAGTGCCGGGCAATGAGGATGACAATCGGAGGTTGGTAACTCTTCGAGAATTTCTGAGACAACACCCACCTACCTTCCAAGGGAGCTCTAATCCTTTGGATGCGGATAGATGAATCCGTGGGTGAAGAAGATTTATGACAGCATGGGAGTTACGGAAGACTTGAGGGTTGACTTAGCTACCTATTTGTTCGAGGGGGAGATCGACCATTGGCGGGATTCGGTAAAGAGACGAAGGAACACATATAAATTTACTTGGGAGGAGTTCGATCAAGTCTTCCAAGACAAATATTTTCTGAGTCGGTTAGAGACAAGATGAGTGTCAATTTCCTCGCTCTTCGACAGGTTAGTTTGACTGTGGGGGAGTATGAGAGAAAGTTTGAGGAGTTGTCCAGATATGCCACATAATTCATATCCATAGAGGCTAGGAAGGCCAAACGTTTTGAACAAGGCTTGAGGCTGGTCATTAGGGAGAAACTTGTGGCTCTTAGGATCCATGACTATGAGGATCTTGTGGATAGGGCTATGTTGGTGGAGAGAGATATAGAAGATAATCAGCGGCGACAGAACCTTATGAGGGAAGGTCTGATCAGGATGGGTGCTAGTAACAGTGGAGCACAGAGAGCAGCACCCTACCGTCGCCCAGATCAGGTAGTTGGACAAAGACCAAAGACAACTCGAGGTATGGGAGGAGTACTAGAGAGAGTAGGCACCGACCCACGTCGATGCTTTGCATATGGAGGTGTTGGCACTTCAAAGATAACTAGCCATTGCTTTCAACCAAAACCAACCAAGCAACGGGGCGAGTGAATGCAAACAAGCCACCTCTACAAAGGCCACTACAACAGCAGAGACCGTTTGAAGCTCTAGCCCCAAGTGGCGCCAACTAAGGAAGGGTATTTGCTTTGACCCAACCGGAGGAAGATGCCTCCAATGTAGTGGTGGAAGGTATTGTTCTCCTCTACAATTCTTGGGCCCGAATTTTATTTGATCCGGGTGTAACTCATTCATTTATATGTACTGCATATGCTATTAAATTGGGATTGGGCTTCGAGAAGCTAGAACATGCGTTGTGTATTAATATGCCTAGGGAGAACGGTTGGATACTAGTCAGGTGTGTAGGGGTTGCGTTCTTCGAATTGGGGAGCATGAATTGATTGTAGATTTGGTTGTCTTAGACATGAAGGGGTGTGACGTGATCTTTGGGATGAATTTGTTATCCACATTCTGGGCGGTAATGGATTGTTTTCGTAAACGAATTTCTTTTCAACTATCGGGAGGGGTAGTATTCAGTTTCATGAATGACCAAAATTCCTCCCATCCATTTCCTACTACGG